AAATTTAAGAAATTTTTACTTATTTCTAGATCGTTTTTGCAGTGCATCTGTTTATAATAAAGCAAACACCGTTTGGTATTAACATTTTTGCACAATAACAATTGCATTAATATTTTAGTATATGGGTTTTTACATTTAGTGATATGTAACAACTGAAACAGACTGTCTTCTGTAATCCATCAGATTACTGCGATCTTACCTTGGACCCAACCACAGCCAGTGACTTTCTTCAACTTTCAGAGGGAAACAAGAAGGCAACGAAGATTTCAGAGAGTGTTCCGGACAAAATAATTCCTCACGTTCTGTGCAGAGAAGGCCTGACCAGCCGTCATTACTTTGAGTTTACATGGAGCATTGTCAATCAGAAATACGTTGGTGTAGTTCTCGCATGCACTGGTGGAAAGCCTGGAAAGCAAACCTCGTTTGAGGCTTATAATCACTATTGGACATTTTATTGCATGTGTTTAATGTACTCTGCAGGGCAAAGTGCTGGCATGACTTATACTCTTCATCCCCCAGATGGTTGCAACAGGTTTGCTGTGTATCTGGACTGTCCTGCTGGTACTGTGTCCTTCTATTCTGTCTGTGGAAAAGATCTGGTCCACTTGCACACCTTTAAACATAAATTCAATGAACCAGTTTACCCAGGTCTATTCATGTTAATCAAAGATGACTATGTATCCTTATGCCCAGTTGAATAAGTCTGAGATTTGATGATGGAGTGGATTTGATCAGGATATTTTATAGCTAAAAAATAAAGAAACCGGTAGAACAAAAATATGAGATTTTCACCCTGCTGTAATGTTTCATATTTTTATTCTCTACAAGAAAAAACATTTATCTTTCTCTATCTTCCTTCAATTATATAAAGTCTAAATGTTGCACATCCTGAGAAACAGATCCATGATGATCCCCAAGTATTTTATAATCATTTAAAGAAAAGATTAATGTTTAAAACAGTGAATCTGAAATAATAAAATCTGGGTATAATAAAGAGGACGCTTTAGAGGACAATTTGACTCTAGGTAGACTGTTTGTTCGCTTTGCAATATTTACATGCTATGATTAGTGTTTTAGTTCAAACTTTACAATCTGATCATGTGTTAGAAGGTGCAAAAGTGTCCTGGTTGGTAGGTATAAATCTTATCTCAGTTTATCAAACCTTAGTAGGGTATCGTAAGTCTTATTTTTTTCTCTGAAATCTCGACTTGTACATTCTTTTTTATGTAGAGGTTATGCCTTCTGTATTTGAGCTTTCTTTGTGTTTTTTAGTTTTTAAACAAATTAGATTAAATGTGTAAAATATTAAGCTACAGCACATGCAAATGAATTGGTAATCAAATTAGTTAAACCAAGTAAGAATATACTGTCTTCATGTTTTCTGATATTTTTGATTCTTTTTGTATTTTAGGAAATTATGGTCTAGTTCTTTAACTGACTAATTTGAATATAAACTGGCTGTTTACGTCTATATAACCATAGATATATGGGTGTTGTTCTATCTGATCTTTTATTTCATTTCTTAATTTTTGTTATTCTATTAAATGTGTGCTAAAATGCTTGATCAAGTATCTAGAACATTAGTTGATTTTGTGACGTTAAAACCAGAACATGGGCTTTAAAATTAAACTGAGGAGTGTTGGCCTAGTGATTAGAGCAGTGCGCTTGTGCTCTGAGAAGGTTAAAGATACCTGGTTTGATCCCCACAGCCTTCACTCTGGGTCCCCGAGCAAGACACTTGGCTCCCCAAGGGGGATGGGTTAAATGCAGAGGTACATGTCTCCAGTGTGAGATCACTAAAGTTCAATTATTAGGTGATGTTTATGTTTGTTTTTCGAAGACTCTTCTGCTTTGGTTTTGTGTCATGCTGCCACCTGGTGAAATAATCAATAAAGCTGGATCCTGAGTCTAACTCCTGATTGTTTGCATCTTGTTAAATACAGAGGTGTGAGGTCACAAAGTGCAAATACTTCGGTACCTTACTCAAGTAGAAATTTTGGTTATCTTTACTTTACTGGAGTAATTATTTTTCACACAGCTTTTCACTCATTCTCCTTACTTTTTTCTTTTCTTTTTTTTTTTTTTTTTTACAATTATCTCTACTTTTCACTCCTTACATTAAAAAAATAGACTTGCCAGTTTAGTTTATTTTAAGCTATTTTTTGTTATGGCCTGTTGGTATTTAAAACAAATAAAAATAACCATCAAAATAATTTTGTTTCATCCAGACCATTTCTTTTGTGGTTGGACTCTGATAAATCTTTTTTTTTTTTGTCATTGTCTCCTTTCTATCTCCTCTTTCTTTCATCTTTTTTTCTTCTTCTGTTTTTCTGCTCTATTTACATTGCAGTGTCCATATAAACTGTAAAACTCCCTG